AATTAATATATAGAATAAAAAATTATATAATGAATTTTATTAATTAATAAATTATCTTTTTTTTATCAGTTTTACGTTCTTTCATTTAACGATTTTTAAATCGATCTGATTTTGAAAAAGTTTTCACCTCAAAAAAAGCCACAGCAACGCGTGGCCGGGGCACCCTAGTATATATATATATATATATATATATATATATATAAACTTTTAAACTATTCTAAAACAAAGAAAATATATTATATTTTCTGTCAGAATAAAATAAAAATAAATAAAAATGTTCCAACTTATCGAGAAATATGTCAATGTAATCTATCGTCGAATAAAGTGTCTCTCGTTAACCTCATCATGATCTATACGAATTATACTCGATATTTGTTTTTCTATCATGGCAGGTTGAATGTTTCGATACGATCTGATAAATAAGCTAGCACAAAGACAGGACCGATATCGGTTGTTACGTTCTTTTTTTTTACGTTTTTTACGTTTTTACATCGACTGTCATACGCTTCTCCCTGAGGAAACTTGTAAAGAGAGAGAGAGAGAGAGTGAGAGAGAGAGAGAGAAAAAAGATAGATATGTATGCATAGATATACATAATTTTCAGTGTACACACACACACACATACACAGATACACATATATATATATATATATATGTATATAAATGTGTATAACAGTTGCCGCCTATTCGCGAGGTAGATAAAAATTTATCGATCTTTCTTTCCTACCAACCAACTCTCTTTTTTTTCCGAGTAACAATTGTACTTACGTATGACATACATATATATGTATATATAATATATACATATTATATATATTATATATAATATATATATATATTATTATTATTATTATTATTATTATTATTATGTATATACGTATGCCCTACGTCATTCGTCGTCGTTATCTGAAAGCCTATTGAAGTTTTCTTTCGAGGCAATCGCTTTTTACATAAACCCCACACGCTTTGTGAACATGAAAAAGAACAAATATTACAATATCTAATCATTATTAAATTCTGTCTCAATATTTATTAATTACAATAATAACAATTAGTTCGATTGATTAATATTGAATTTTCCTTTTTCAGTTTATATGTGCTTATAATTATGAAAGTGATCTCTAAGTCATATATCTCTTGTTTCGAGATATTTAAAGATTTATATTTGAACACTCTCTATATGAATTCTATAAAATATTGAAATAACAAATATTATCTAACGATTCATTTTTAACAATATCGTGAAAATTACATTGAATTTATTTAGTTTAAAATAATGTGGTGCGTAATAACTGATAAACTAATTTTTTTTTAATTTTGACCTAAACCACTTTCATAATTATGGATTCATATATACATAAATTTTTAATAAAATATTTTTTAGAAATTTCTTTTTCCATGCGTTTCTATAATCTCACTTTCTCTTTCTTTCCCTTTTTCTTATTTCCTAAATCGATATACACACGTATTTGCACCTATCCTTAGTACCTAAGTAGTACAAGGACATCATTGATCAGACAATACACGTTTTCCTTATCTAAATAACTATGATTGAAAGATTAAAACAAACCGATCGAATAAATGTAAATAAATCCAAATTATTTAACCAACGTTTTTAACATTAATTACAAGAACAGGATAAAGTAAAAAAAAAAAAAAAATAAGAAAGAAACGAACAAATCTGTAAATTACTCATTACATGGAAACGATTAAATGCGATAAGTGTACTCGTACGATAAGTCTCGACGAAAAAAAGTTCTCGTTTTATAACTAAATCGAAATTCTTAACCAACATTTAACGTTTAACATTTAACTAGAAAAAAAAGAAAATATTCGTACAGCGGTTAGATAAAAAGAGATTAACCGTGAAAAGTACTTCGGTTGGTCGATACGGAAAATGAGAATAATTGAGTAGAATTCTAAATGCACTTTATCGATCGTTGAAAAATGTTAAAGGGCTGAGAAACACGGCTGATCGTTTCCTACCTTTAACTATTCTGTGTATATCGTAAACGCGTTTCCTTGCGAAGAAAACACAGAGAGGGAGAGAGAGAGAGAGAGAGAGAGAGAGAGAGAGAACACTCACGCAACATCGAGAAAGATATCAAGAGTTTGACGTCAAACGATGCTCTCGTTTGCGAATAACGAAGCATTCTCCTAACAACTTCCTCCTACTCTTTATACATAACGCAGTTTAAAAATAAGTTTACTTTTAATGCCTTTCAATTTGACCCAATGACCTCGTTGTAGTTAGCAAACGAATAAACGAAGTAGTAGTATTCTATCCCGTTAATCTTCCTTTCCCCATTTTTAACCTCTCTCTCTCTCTCTCACTCTCTTCATTTCCCTCTTATCCTCTTTTTCTTTCTCCCTCCCCCTATCAATCCTTCACCATTTCTTTGTAGGATAAGGAAGAAAAGAATGATGATTGGTCACGTGACACGTTCCAGAAGGATATCTTAAGGAAACAGGAAGGAAGGAATGTTAGCAGGCGGGAAAACTATTCGAAGTACGTAATGATTGATTGCATATACATACTGGGTGTCCTACTTTGATACTATTTTCGAGAGTTATGTCTAATATAATCAATCGGTTCTTGAATTAAAATTTTACATTTGCTCGTTTTGAAATGTTTTTATGTAAAAAAAAAAAAAAAGAAAAAAATTAATAAAAAAGACTTAAAAGACAATCATTTTCCAGGTCAAATAATACATCGGATTAATCGAAAATTTGGATAATAATTAGTTTGTGAAATAAAATCTTATTATTTGTAACCCCATTTTTCACTTTATTCTTCTTTTTGGTTTTCAGACTAATTAGATTTTCTCTTCGTTTGTTATTCGATCTTTACACGCGTGTATACTTTAATTCAAACTGTTGCCTATACTGATTCGTATTTTTAATTAAGCAATCGAGATTCTTCAAAGTGTCAGATTGTCTTTATAATAAAAATCGAAAGAATATTTAAGTTATTACTTATTTTTTAATAAAAATTATAAAAATAAAAACTGGCAAGAACTTGTTGGTGCGATATAAGTTGGTTGTTTCTTAGTTAGAAGTTGGTCCCTTGATATAAAGGGCGAATATTCGATAGGATTAAGGAATTAGTTGGACACCCGGTATAGATGTAAGAATTACCGATTCGAGGCCGGCGTCGAGACCGGCGGCTATACCGCCGTTTGGAAGTTCCTGAATGCCAGCTGTGGTGCCAGCAGTAGTAGTTGTCGTGGTGGTAGTCGTTGTGGTACCCTGAGAACCCTGTTGAAGTTGTAGGGTGGTCTCCCTAGAGGTTGTACCGGAATAATGGGCCGCTGTCGAGGTCGCAGCACCGTTGTGAGGCCTCGTTGCATCCAGTAGCACCTTCAAAGACGCTATCGCGTGTAGCTGCGTCGCTTTTTCGTCCACCTTACCTGAATAGTGGACAAGGATGATGCAGGTTAATGAAAGCGGAGCTTGTATACACCACATTACATTCCCTAATCCCAACTCTCTACAACAGTATTCTTTCAAATTGTCTTGTTTTTCATTTTTTCTTATTTTCTTTGTTTTTTTTTTCATCGTTCATCAATTTATTTTTCAAGAAATATTTTTTCAAACAATTTTCTACAAACTTTATCAAACCAAAATCTATATATTTAAGGGATGAACTTCAAGGATTTATATTGGAGAAACAATTCCTATTAACTCGATATTATAGATTTTTAATTTTTGTATTATCAGAATGTCTTAACGTTGTTGATAGAATTTTCTTGTCTACAGTATCTCATTAATTTCTTATAGATGCGATACTCGTTTGAACAACAAACTTTATTGACAAAATGTAAAATTTTTAATTAAAAATTTCTTGGTTATTTAAATACTATACTATATTAATGTATTTTTTGAATTTTCAATTAGACAAGTTTGAAGAATACTGTAATTATACTACTCTAATCTACTTTAACCTATCCTCGTGCGATTTTCATTGATATCAATTTGAATCGCTTTTCTATATTATCTACAAGGCCCCTTCATGTTGTTAAAGGCATGCTAGGAAAAGCTGGACGAAAGCTAGCGACCGATGAAAACATGTGCGAACTAAATGATTGCAATGGCCATTACGTGTTAACTATCTTTTCATCTTTTTTTTTTTTTTAATCGATATTCAAATTTCAATGATCAATTATGTGTTGAATATTTATTTGAATTATTAGATAATTAACACTGTTTTATATAATATAAAAATGAAAAACATTGAAATTAAATTTGATTTGAATTTTTGGCAAAGTGTTAATAATAAAATGTGTATGAATGTAATGCGCAAGCGAGCGAGGCACTCGTCTACGACTTATAGCAGCGTGCTACGAGAACGTTCGAAGTTTCCCACGTGAACAACGTTTAGGTTTCATCCCTTACGATCGGATTAGCCTGCTCGAGTCGTTTCGTGCAAAGCGTGCGAAGCTTTACTTGTCTGCTTGCTTGCTCTCACACCTAAATCCTCTTTAGAAAAATTACTTTCGATAAATGGGATATACTTATGTATACATAAATCCTGATTCGAAATTATTACGTGAAATAAATAAATCAATCGAAGATTTAAAATTTAGATATTTAACAATATTAGGACTATAAGATTTTGTAACTATCATAAAGTGTTGAAATATTAATAATAATATAATGCAAAAAATATTATATTAAATTAATACTACACGAGTATTAATTTTATATTTATAAATGACCAAGGAACCCTTATGATGTCCCTTAACGCGTTAAAGGTCTATATTTTAATAAAACACGTATCATACACGCATACTAATTGATCAATGTGTATTGTAACCATCAAGTCCCACTTAAATTAGTTAAACTCGAGAAACGATGGTGCACTTGGTCATTTTCTTTCTCGTCTAAATTTGTACTTGGTTCGTCCTTTAATCATGAGTTACCTCATTTACACGTGAACTGTCGATTATCGTTCGACCGACAGGATATCCAGCATCGTTTTAACAATATCCCTTTTCCAACTAATTGCTAAAAGCTGTTTCGTATAGCCGTTGTTCAACCGTAAAAATGAATGCTAAGGATGATACTTGAAATAAATATCTATCTAAATATGTGTATGTGTGTGTGTGTACGAATACTCCTGTGAATTACTGTATATCTAATAACCAGGAAAAAAAATAAATGTGAGTCCCTTTTCATTAAAAGATAACTTACCATCAACAAGTAGTCGATCGATGTATTGATATCTCCTAAATCATTAATTATTCGATGATATGTATCTATCAACGTTACTCCTAATTAATAACAAGAGAGTTTGCCAGATGAATGTTGATTCATAGAATCGATTAGAATAGACTAATTCATTAACAATTTTATTGTTAAAAAAAAAAAATTATTTCTTTAAGTAAAGCTTTATTTTTTTAAATATATATACATATCTAATTTTCTTCAAGTATTTCATATCCGTGTATAAGTGTACAACCTTGTAACTATTTTCTCTGTTGTATTCAACGTTCTCATGAACACGTGTCGAAGAATATGAAGAATATGAAGGATACTCTACTTTCAGCTCGCTTCTCTCTCATGAAACAATTATAAGGAGTTTCAAATTGTCAGTTAGAGTATGACTTACGTACTAGGTTATTTCAATTACTTAAATACTCCTTGCCAAAATAAAAACACAACGAGAAAGAAAGAAAATAAGGAAGAAAGAGAGAAAGAAAATGAAAAAGAAATAGGAACAAACGAAGCGAGAAGGAAATGTTAAAGAATTCTGACGTGTTTGAACAATGTGAAAATATCTGTAAATCCCACACACTTCTATACAAATATGTACATACATACATGATGCATACTTTCAAATATATCGACTTTCTGAAAATATATTCCTTAAAGCTTTTGCGTTATATCGATTGTCGAAAATGAATAATTCCGAGCAATGTTTCGATTCGTCGACTCGTTGAAATAAGAAAAGAAAAAAATGAACAAAAAGGACTTGTTAATGTATCTTAAGAACAAGTCGATGTAGAATACAGCAGAGAAAGAAAAGAGGGAAGCTCTTTGTATTGTTCTTTAAAAAGCTCCAAAAGGTATCTAATTCGCCAGTTACCCTTCCTCGCGGTAGAAGCTTCGACCAATCGCACATCCGGCCAATGCTTTTTGAATAGTGTTGGTAATAGTAGTAGTAGTGTAGTAGTAGGTCAAACAGAAAAAGCCAATGTGAGTGGCCTTCATCCCTGAAGGTATGAACGAGGCGAGAAAAGAAAGACGTAAAACCCTAGTCAGGGGATGGCAAAGCACGATGAACATATACATACGTAGGTACGTATTTATAGATGTATTGTATATACTTAAACTAGGCAATATATAAATATACAAGTAGTTAATACACAAGTATTTTAGTAGTAATTTAGTAGTAGTAATTTAATACACAAGTATAAAAATGAAATTTGATCTGTCTTTAAAATCTACTTTTCTTTTCATTACAACACAAATGCTCAATAGTTATCCATCTCTTACATTGAAAATCAATGTTCTGCGAATTGTGCCGTTCTATCGGATGTAATCTACGGATTTAATTTCAATTTCATACCTTAACTATTCTTGTAAATTTTCCTACTTTATTTTGATTCATTTAATATTCCTAAAGCTTCAAAATTATATGTACCATTTCTTTCAGATCAAAATCAAAATTAAATAAGACGTGATTTTAGTAACTCAATGTCAGGTTTGCCCCTGCTAAGTAAATCACCAGTTAAAGATTAAACCAAAGATTAGATCAACCGAAAAAAAGAGAAATGAGAGAAAGAGAGATGAATAAATGAGAGAGATGGGAACGTGAGATTAGAAAAAAAGGGTTAATATTTTTTTGGACAAAATGAAGATTAAGATTTGAGATTCATTATCTAATAGGTTAAAGAAAGAAAAAAGCGAGAATGGTGAGGCACGACGAGTTGATTAACGAGAAGGAAAAATTAATTTAACGAAGAAGACATAACTGTTTCTTCCTCTTCTGACATTTTTCTTTTTACTTTGAGAAAGGGAAAGAGAGAGAGAGAGAGAGAGAGAGAGAGAGAGAGAAAATCGTTAGTCGCATTTTCTCAAGCACCCTGACAAGCGAGAGGTAAAAAGTAATTGGATTTATTAGCACGTTCTCAAGCATTTTTGCGTTATTTTCATCTTTATTTTCCGTAAGCTGGTATTTCTCATACATTGACTAAGATACCCCGACGAATAAAAAAAAAACCTTGAAAATATCAGTTTACTTTGGTTAAAGGCAAATATTGTTTTAATCGACTTCCGATTTCTCGATGCCGTCTTTAGTAATTACAGGTAATCCTTAGATACTTGAAGAAGGTTGTGCTTGTCAACTGACTAATGGCTTTTCATCTTGCTAACTTGAAAATTAAATGGTATTGAGAGAGGAGATAAGATTTAAATGCGAACATTGGTATAGAAGAAATTTTTGAAATTTGTGAATTGATGGTAGAAAAAAAGAAAACAAGAATGTAGAATTAATAGATCAATTAACTTGTTCTACCATTTTAAAAAAAAATGTCTTAACCAATATCCGGTCGTTAGATATTTGAAGATTGTATTTTCTGAAATGTACACGAATATTTCGACGAAGAACTCGCGTGGTTGAAAGTTAATTCTAATGCAAAAGTTTCTACGATTGATCGCACCTAACATTTGCTACCGGCTTCGCACAACACGATTGTGAGACTAACTTACACAGAATGCACCTATACACACAATGCAACTCCCCATTACTACCACCACCACAACTACGTTCCATCCAGGTAAACACTAGAGTTTTGTTTTCTTCGTATAACTACGAGTGCGTCTGAAGTACGAAGAACGAAAAGAACTTTTTTTTTCGCTCTTGAAATGTCGACGATCTTAAATTCTAAAACTAAGGAAAACTTTTATTGACTTATCTTGTCCCAAATAATAACATAAATTAACCAAAATATCTTTTGCGCGTAAAACTATGAATATTGTTATTGAAATTAATTAAAAATATCTACACGCAACGAATCGTTAACAAGTTGCTCATGGTTTATTAATATTAGGTCCAGTCATAAATAACTTCCGTTTTTTATGAGACAAAGAATGGTGTTTCTGTCACTGATAAGTGCACGATACTTTTCATGGTGTTTTTTTTGCACTCTTTGTATTTGTTGGACATATCTATTGAATTTTGTTCCAATATTACCTTTAAAAGGTTCGTCAAAGTTGGAAAAACGTCCTGCACTCGGTTCGTCTTTTATGGTCGTATCTCCAGAACGGAATTTTACAAACCAATTTCTTACTGCCCTATCAGTTATCAATCCTGCACCGTATACGCTGCATATTTTTTCAGCTGCCACTTTAGTGCTATTGCCTTGTTTAAATTCCTAAAGCATTACACGTCGAATATTCACTGTTTACTATCCATTTCAGAAGTTAAAAAAAATAGTTAAATGTAACATTGACTACATACAAAAGTTGACAGAAGACTAACTGAATCCTCATCTATATAGTGATACCAAAAATTCGTTTGTTTCGGTGATTTATAGTAGGTAAATAAGAAAAATAGATTCTACATAGTCGCATTGGAAGTTACTTATGACTCGACCTAATAAAACTGATTATAATGAAAAATTAATATCTGTCTAATTGTATTATAAAAGTAAATCAGATTAGAGTAAAATCAAGATTTCATTAGGTATCCTTGTCAAAATTATCGTCCAAGTTAAATGAAGTATTTTTTTCTTGTACATTTTTTTCAATTTATTAATATTATCTAAACATGACAAGTTATTCATCAGTAATGAGGGTTATAAATGAATTGTAGTTATATATGAAAATGAAATATATTATTTAATTGATGGATTATATAGATTAAGGATTACATTTGATAAAACGAGTTTAGTAGATGATAAATAGAAATATTGAGAGAAATGTAAATGTGATAGGTAAAATGGAGTATGGAACTCAATGTATTTGTGTGTGTGTGTGTGTGAGAGAGAGAGAGATATAAGTAGCCGAAAAGCAATTAGCCGTAATTAACTAGGTAAATAGAGATCTCGTAAGGAACCCCTGAGGTTCAGGCTTAAACCTCAAAGAGCATTTTGCTCGATAAACTCAAACTACTCAAAATAAATTGTATACAAGTTAAGGAACACTGTGGCTTCGTTTGTTAACATTATTCCTTAGAGATAAGAGAGAAGAGGGAGTAGAAAGTGACATCTCATGTGTTGATTTTGACAATGAATGTTAAGATACTCGACGTGTTCACTCACGTGGATGGAAAGTAGTCACTAGAGATCAAGTAGAAACTCGTGTTGAGATCTGCTACGATACGTCGCTAACGTTTATGAGTACTTCAAAGATAACTCAAGTATATTACAATTTTATTTCTAAATATTATATTAGTTCTACATATTAATTCGATCCCTTGATAGTAAATAGTATACGAAAACAACATGAAAACACAAATAAAAATATAGAAGAAAGGGTGAATCAAGTAACACGAATAGTTTGAAATGAATTCGCGAATTTTTATTGCCAATTATGTTTCTATCTCGAATGATTTAGAAGATCACATTTTGTTATTATTTCCTAATTCTTTCTATGAATCTTCCTGTTATATCGAATGAATTCTTTTTTTTATTTTTCTCCAAACTTTTTGCCCAATTCATCCTTCAATACGTTAATTCTTTCTGTGCACACAAACACACGGACGCTCCACTCTATTAAACTTTATCCCAGGAAAGATTTTGAAAGTTGTGATTCTTAATTCGTTACAAAGCCGATAATCTAGCGTCTACTTAAAAAATCTTTAGATAAATGTCACTTTACTCAAAACAGAACGAACGTACTTTATGTTCGCGAAAGTACAAAATCTCGACGTTTCTTTTCTTCGTGACCTCTTTCCTGATTGGTTTACATTCCGCATGAAAGATTTCGTGTCTAAATGTAGAACTGACACTTTAATCATGACGCATTAAAGTCACAGAACAATAAATCTACTCTACGAAAATATTCGAATTGATCAATTGGAAAATTAGGAAAATAGGTATAATAGCCTTTTCACGAACGTATTATGTACTTATCGTTGTTAGGTCATCATTCACGTCGTCTTTAAAAAATAAGTCGACGATAATTAATGAAGCATTTATTAGACCATTAAGAAAAAATTATTTGTTACCTAAGAAATTCACTTTTTTTCTATCAGATTATTTTATAATTAATTACATTTTAATTTTTACCTACGCTATGGGGACAATGAAGAAAATAAATAAAAAGAAAAGAAAGAATTAAACTAAATCACACAAATTTAATTTAATATTACATATCTTAACTATGATTTTTTTTTTAATGCTCAAATATCATTTACTTATAACACGTGAATATTTTTATAGAAATTGCTATGAGTTCATGGTAATATAAATAAAAAAAAAATTTACTTCGAGTGCAAAGGGTTAAATTGAAAATATTCTATGATACTATGAGAATAAAAAGAAAAGCAAAGATGGATTTCTCCCCTAAAAAAAATAGTTAACAATGAAAAGGGAATAAATAATGAAATGAAACGAATTTAACGATGACGATGTATATGCGAAAGTGGAACGTCTCGTAGCCTAGACTAAAAGCATCGACCGAGAAGTAAAGTCTAGGTTGTAAAAGGGCTGGAAAAGGAGCGAAATCTGGATTAAATAGAAACTCTGATCGGCTTACCACAGGATCATTGGCGAGGATGCCATGTTCCAATTCAGTCTCTTACCCCTTCTTAACTCTAGAAAAGGGATATTCCCCAAAAAATAGGGTAGACAGAAAGGGGAGAGATAGAGAGAGAGAGAGAGATAGATAAAAAGATCGAGCAAGGTGGTGAAGGTGGATGGGAGGGAAAGAGTTTTGTCGGTGACAGTGTTATCTCGAATGTCAGCACAGCGTGGTGTCTCGATGACGTTGAAGGCACGAAGTTAAAGGAAGGGAAAGGAAGGGAAAAGGAAGGCAGCAAGCCCACGAGAGCGTGGATTCGCTAGTTTCGATCGATACACGTACCTTTCTAGGTCAGGGTCTCGATACATACATATACATACACATACACACACACACACACACACAGATAAAGAAAGAGAGAGAGAGAGAGAGAGAGAGAGAAAGAGAGGCATATAAACTCACCAATACTTTTCCGGATCTACTCAAAACGCGTTCTACAAATTCGTTTGAGCTGGTACGGAAGGTAAAGAATATTCTTTTCTGTCAATGTGTCTATCTCTCTCTTTATCAACTCGTCATCGTTTACTATGCTTTTCCTTCTCGACGATCTTCGTGAAAATGTCGTTGATGAAGGAAAAAGAGATACATCTAGTCACTCTCTTTCTCTCTATCTTTTTTTTCTCCTTCTCGTTTTTTCTTCCAGAAAAAAGAGAAAGATCGCTTCCCGAGCATTTTTTACTCACGGATATGTCTGTGTACACACGTATCTTTCTCTCTCTCTCTCTCTCTTTCTCTATCTCTCTTTCTCTTTCTCTTTCTCTTTCTCTTTCTCTTTCTCTTTCTCTTTCTCTTTCTCTTTCTCTTTCTCTTTCTCTTTCTCTTTCTCTTTCTCTTAGCGGGTATTGAACATTTCCCACGCAATCGAGATTAATGACGTGCTTTCACGAGAAGATTCTCTTCCACTTTCGTGGTAGACAGAAAGGGATGGGGGTGAATAGAAGAGATATATCTATATCTATATCTATATCTATATCTATATCTATATCTATATAGGCATACTTACATGGATATAGATATAGATAGAAATAAAGAAAAATGGATAGGAAAAGAAAGAGAAAGAGAGAAACTACTTGTCGATATATGTTAGTTCCGCATGGTTTCACGTCCTTCTCAACTCGGATACGTTGAATCCCGCTGAGAAGATTCGTATGAAAGGCTTGTCTAATTGATGATCGCTCTTTTCTTTTCCACGACCGCGTGACCTGACCGATTTATATAACCATCACCTTCTTTTAATACGACGCCTGACGGACTCCAAAATCAATTTTATCGTCAGATTACATGCTTCCTATACACGAATTAAGATTTCTATTTGAACAATACGATCAAATATTTTACGTTACGTTTACACGTATTTTTTCTTTTCATGAAATTCTAGTTTCTGTTAGGGTTACTGAACTTTAATCTATTTTAAGGGTTTGCATTTACAACGTTTATCGTTTAAGGGAAACTAATGTAAGTATACAATATTTTACCAATTATTACTGTAATATTTTCAATATTTAATAAAATCATTATAAAAAAGATCTACGAACGATCTACGATATTAAATATCTTCATCAATAATATACAACAATACGTACTACTACTTATAAAAAAAAAAATAATAATAATAATAAAGGGAAAAAAATAGAAGAAGTGAAAAAAAGATACCTCGAAAAGTTGACTCCTTGACGACGATACAACTTTCAAGATGCTTTAGAACGAACAAACGCAGCGTGCTGTGCGTTTGCGCAGAACTGCGTAAGCTTAGCGTTTTTCCTAAGGATTGGAATGAGGATGGAAGTGACAAAAAAAGAAAATAAAGAGCACATGACGACAAGACACGACGAACGAACAAACAAACAAACAAACAAACAAACAAAAGATACAGAAGAAATGTGAGATAAAGATAGGATACGAACAAAAGGGGGTACAAATATACAAATATAGAGGGATGAAAAAAAGAAAGGAAGGAAGGAAGGAAGAAAAAAAATGAGAAAAGTATATAGAGCGTGCATTTTGTTTGAAGGCAAAAAAGCAAGAAAGCTGGCAAGCGAGAGTGATAGAGTGTGGAGTTGGTATACCGGCGCGGGACTGACCGTCGTGGAGCGGATCGATCGTATGGATCATAAGCTGTAGTAGGCCGTGCCTGAACTTGGCGTGGCTCTCCCTGGTCGAATGAGAGGAAGGGACCTGTTCGCAGCCCTGTCCGGTCGTACCGGCACCGCCACCACCGGCTCCGCTGCTGCTTCCACCCCTGCTGCTACTGCAGCCAGCATCCCCTGTGCCTGCCATACCACTGCTCCCGCATGCACCCGATACACCACCCACGCTCGTCTCGCTACTGTTGGTTGCATTCGGATGCTGCTGAAACACACACGGGTTTCTCTCAGTCAGCTACTACCACCATATTACACTTTTTTCTCTTTCTTTTCTATTTTTCTATATATACGTATATATATATTTAGTTGTTACATTTATTTCTTTTTAATTTTCCTTTCAAATAATTCAATACAAGTTTATGACTTTATTATTATTTCTCATTGTTATGTTAAAGATAAGAAATAATTGCCAATTCAATCATTATATATATATATATATATATATATAATTTCATTTCAAAATAATTTATTCCTAACGATTAATATTTTCTAACTAATTTATTATCTTAAGTATGACATTATTATCACATAGTCTCTTTTGTGTGCAAGTTAACAGTTATTTGAAACTTTACCTATAATTTTACTTTGCGTTGATTTGTTTTACGATATAAGTGCTCTTCATTTTGTTAATACTGAAATTATTTGCTCGTTAATTACGAAAGGTTATTAATTAAATGCACAAATTTATGATCTTAAATGTACCATCATTATTTGTCTCTACTATTATTCTCTATAGTTGAGAATTATGAAAATATTATACTTCGACAAAATGTCCCTCAATAAAATCAAAACTTATTCATTTTAGTGATATTGATATTAATTACTTATCGATAAATATTTCTATATAAATTAATTATCTTAAGTATCAAATCATCTTAAGTTAAATTATCGATAAACGAATGTTACGATCAAATTCATTATAATATTATATTTCTTATGTATTTTAAGTAATTTTCATATGACGTGATTAAAATGGAGGGACAAAAATTGAACGAACAACAAATTTTCATTTTTTGTATTATTTTGTATGGAAAACTAAGGAATAAATAAAATCAAGTAATATTTCGAATATGTGAAGTGAAATGAAATAAATTTGTAATTTAATATGAACAAGGTCAGAGTACTACAATTTTCTCCTTGTATTTCTCTCTTTCTCTCTCTCTCTCTCTCTATCTCTGTATCCCAGTTTCTTTCTCATTTACAATTAATTTTACTCTCAGATCTATCGATGCTGAAACTGTAAAAATATCCAAACACGAGTAGATACGTTCTTGTTATTAACGCGTCGTGGTAATGAACTTTCTAATTAACGGGAAAACCACCCTGCGAGTAACCAGCTTCAAAATGAACTGATTTGGATCTCTTGCATGAATCTATCCCTCTAGTATACTCGACTAACACGAGTATCGTTAAATTGAACATTGTTTGTTATTAGTCGCCTACTAAGACTAACTACGTATTAGCAATTTAGTTTGATTAGAAACAAAATTATCGAATTACGATCATTCCAGTTTACTTTATAATATTAATTAGATATCGAACCGGGATTACGTAAATAATTGATTAAGAGCTTTTTATACGATCTTGATAAAGAAGAAAAAAAAAACGCCATTAACGACAAATTTTTAACAAGTAATAACATTTCAAAGAGAATTTCCAAAAAGACTCGATTTCTTTTTATTATTTAATTGAATTCATTAATTTATTTTCTCATAGCTTGATGGACGTCTATCTATAGGTTTATTTATTTTATTACGCGAAAATATCCAATTATTATAATTCGTAATGAATTATTAATTAAATTTGCAAGAGATCGTGAAATTCTCACGATAGAAATGAGAAACTTCCTAAATGGTTTTTAACGCTAATAACAATTGACAATTATTCATTGTTAATATCTTCTTTTTTGAATTCGTAGTTATTTTCAATTATAACATGAAGATGACACGACGAGAACATGAAGTACATCTAATATTAATATATTTATTACATATATGTATATAAAATCTAATTTATACGGTATAAGTAACTGGTAAAGTGTTCATTAGCGAACATGCTAATTATTTAAAGTCTATTAACAAGAACTTCAACCGACACTGACACGAAAACTGTTTAGCTTCATCTTCTTCTCCTATATTTCTTATTAAACTAATAATAAAAACGAGTTAAATGTAAGTCCCCACGTTTACCATTAATTGCTCTTTCAAACTATAATATTTTAAATCACGTAACAACAAAGAAACATTTAATTAAATGATTGAAATTCTAAACTGTCTTTTTCTTCTTATATACATATATTCATTATGAATAATGCATACACATACAAATTCAATTATTCAAATTTGAAAATCGATTTTTTTTTTTTTAAACGAAGCTGTAGACAGAATAACGTTATATTCAATTTTCGTCTTCATTTATCCCCCTATTACTATTACTGTTCTACCCTGTATATGAAATACATTATAAAACTCATTTTCTTTTTTTTTTTTTACATTTTTTGACTGTAATTATTTACACATATGTAAGTAGATAAAATAGTAAGATATAATAAAAAATTGCATCGTTTGTCCTTCGATTCTTGCTGACTATTCTTTTAGCTCGAAGCGATGTTTGTTCTAATTCTTAAACATTTTATAATGGTAGAGACTAGCTTATATCCTTTAGTATCTCTTTTTTTGCCACGTTCCTACGGATACTGGGTCGAGTGTCGATGAGTGCAGACGTGGCCTCCGAAACTAAGCAATCTCTATCTCTCTCTCTCTCTCTGTTCCTCTCCCTTTTTCTCCCTTTATTCCCCCCTTTTTTCGCTCACTCTTAATTCTAACATCGGGATCCACGCCAAAAAGTGTCAAAAGCAGAGTTGTTGCGTATGCCCCATAGTCCTATTTAAAAAAAAAGCTATTTCTATATACGTAGGTATATATGTACAAGTCTCAAGAGCAACATACTTCAAAGTAATGACTCTACACTTTTGACTCGCTTATCAAATCGTCCTATCGTTATATCCTCATATGTTACTATACACGTTTAATGTAAAGTTTCCTTTGATGGACGTAAAAACATAACACATGGATAAAAATCTTCACTAACTACTAAACACGTTACAAAACGTCAAAGTGATCGTATGACAAGATAACACACTCGTAGATAAGTGTCTTTTACTATTTATACTAAATGTTTTACAAGTACTACATACATGTATATATATAGTACATGTATATATATAAATATATATGTATTTATGTGTATATAGTACTTACAAAGTATATAAGATAAATATAAAGTGTTTAGATAATGTGCCTTGAAAAATTAACCTTGTCAAAGTAACACTATTACTCTCTTTAGCGATCTCATCCGAATGATTTGCTTCTTTATTTTCATAGTAGATATGCATACATTATAAATATAATATTAAATGTAAATGAGAGATTTTAACGCAATCTTCTATTATTATTATTTCTTATTCTTTTCTATTTGTATTAATATCAATGTTATAAAGTATAATTAAAAAGATAAGATTTTATTTAAAACGTTGTTATTATATTTAACATTTGAGACTACGATTTTTATCTATAAGTTCACGATCGAATATTATTATTTTAGATTTATCATTAGAAATTCATAAAGGAATAACTAATTTTATCTTACATTAATATTATACTCTTATTATTTTTTATTTTTAAACCTACCAATGTGTTTGATGTATATAGTATAGTTAAATTAAAATTTGATCGTAACTGTTCATAATCGAATACTGTTATGAGAGATCCATTATCTTTACGAGGAATTATAGGTGAATAGTTACTTAAACAATTACGCGTTGGGTATTCAATGTACTAACAGATAATATCCACGATTTTCGATAAAGTTCTCTATGTTATCGTGCTGAACGCTTTGAGTTATTGCTCTAACTAAACGAAACGTGGAACGACGATGTTACTAATTGTGAATGGATGTCATTGTCTAAAGAGAAGCCTTGACGAACTTGTGTGCTTATAACAGACAAAGAGAAAGAGAAGAGGTAAGCAGCTTAGATAAACTTTCTACAAATTTAGACGAATTAACTTAACCGTTACATCACACACACACACATACTTAATAACACAATTGTCAGAAATACTTTAACAAAAGTGAATGTAAATCTAATGTTGGGATGAATATTAAAATATAAAATAGAAAATTCATTGTACGAATTAGAATAATTGTTTTGTTATTGGGTGGTTTTGTTGTTCGTGCAGATTTTCAGTAGGTGGCATAAAGGTTTTTTTACTGAAAAATCTGAGAAGTTCTGAAAGGACGAAATTTTGAAGTTACCCATAAAGATGGAGAAAGATTGTAAAACAGAATAGCACTTACATTTATATAATTTAACTAGGGGTGCCCCGCCACGCGTTTCTGTGATTCCCAATCCGATACACATGTCTTTAAGTCAACGAATTACCTTATACCGCCATCTGTTAGAATCTTATCAAACTAACAGAGATAATCATGACTCTTTGTTAATAAACAAATAATTCGCAATAAAATAATATTGCGATTATAAATTGGGATATAAACTATCCTATCTTTCAAGTTAGATGAAACTGCACACAGTGTGCAAAATTTTATTAAAATCGGTTCAGTAGTGTAGGAGTCCATTGCGAACAAACAACGTGACATGTAATTTATATATATTAAGATAAGATAAATATATACCAATAAAAAAAACTTTAATGCGTTGCGTTTTAATCTTCTGTCAAAATCAGCACGAATTTTCCGGACAACTCAATAAAAATATAAAAATATTAATTCCTTTGATGCGAGTATAGGAAAAATCTTATTACTCGAAAATTAACAACAATTATCAACAATAATTAAAGAGACATGAATAAAATATCGTCTTTTGAAGATTTTGATGATACTGAGAAAGACACAAAATATAACCGAATTCGAAAATTCCATATTGTTTTGAACGATATGAAAGTGGGAGAAACAAAGTAAATGTAAAATTTGTAGTAGCACGTAAATACACCTACACGATGTGCAGCAAGTTAGTTGAAAGATAACACGACCTTGTAAGGGAGAACTCAAACGAGAGTTTTAGAAGAACCGAAATGCCAAAGTGAGACATTTCGAATGTATTCTCTTTTGTTCCGAACGAAAGAGACGACACAAGAAATGATAGAAAAATACAAGGAGAAAAAAATAGACAGATAAATGTAATGA